CTCCCTGAGCTACCAGGGCTCCAACTATTTTCTCCCACAAAATAGCTAGTAAGCTCAGAGTAGCTGAGCACTTAATCATTGTGCCCCCATGGCCCCTTATAGAGTAGCAGTCAGCACCCTGCTACTTTAAGGACACTTTCGATCCAAACCTACTAGGGGGAGGCTTGGCTTGCCTGTCCTTGGCCTCAGTTTTGTGTGGGAGCCAAGAAACGGAGAACTGATGTTTTGGCAAGGCAGTCAGCTCTCCCGGGGAAGCCAGCAGTTCAGTGACCTCTGCCCTAGTACACAGGACATCCTTCCCCCAACATCTGTCCTGGAGCTCCTGCTGTGGCCAGTCCCTCCGCTGACCCTTGGCAAGGGCCCAGCCCACCTCCCTTGTCAAGGACAGCGTGGAGCCAGCCACTGCCTGTGGCTTGGTTGTCGGCACCCTCGGTCCTTCCGACAGGGTGCTGGCTGTTCCTCGGAGTGGTGGGCACAAAGGCACTGCTGACACCTTAGTGTCTTGATTCAGCTCACTCCGCTATGTACAGCTGGTCATCTGGGACAAGCCACTCAAATTCTTTGTTTTCCTATCTGTATGCAGAGGGGATGTTAGTGTAGCTGGTACAGGGTGCTGTGAAGGATGAAATAAAATTGTCTTCCATTGAGTACAGAGCTAGAGATCCATGACTGTTTTTATTATCAGTGTTTAGCATGGGACAAAGCTCCCAACCCCAGTTGATCATTAACAAATGGTGCATAGATGGATACCTGCGTGAAGGCCCTGGAAGTCAGGGATCAGGTTCTAGATCCATTTTGATCCTGACTGCCCTTCTAGGGGCGAGAATACAACAATGAGCAGAAGAAAACACTGTCTCTGCTTTCAGAGGGGTTGTGTTCTGGAAGGCAGGGGCTGTTACAGATTGCACCTTGTCTCCACCCCCCCCCAAAAAAAAAGCTGTCTAAATCTTTATCCTTGGTGCCTGGGACGATGTTCTTTGAAGAAGTTATTGATGAAATGACCATGAGATCACACAGGGCGGACGGTGAGTCTACAGCCAGAGTTACAGAGATGCAGATTGATGGCCATGGGGCAAAGGGAACCCAGGTTATAGGAGGCAGAGATGTAAACCCAGGAGGACCAAGGGGTCTGGCAGTCTTGAAGAATTAGGAGGCAGGCCTGGAGGAGAGCCTCCACCAGCACCTTCAGAAGGAGGGAAAGTGGTTGGCATCCTGAATTTGGACCTCTGGCCATGCCAAACTGTGAGGCAGTACATTGCTGTTCCTATAAAGCCCCCAGGTTGTGGGACCTTCTTATAGCAGCTCTAGGGA